GTAAAGTCAACACCAGCTGCTGATGCGCTCTCAAAGATCACAAATACTTGTACAGTGAGTTCCACACTCCTCGTGTGAGACACCCAAACAGCAAGGGGGTAGGTATAACCCCCTACATACCAGAGATTGCTTCAGCATCTTCAGTTGGCACACGAAACAATGCAACTTCCTTCTATAATCAACAAAAACATTGTGTTTAGTCATGCTTTGAACTTCATGGTTTTCGGTTTACTAACCCATGTTTGAAAAGATCAAAAGTCAAACTGCTGTTTTCTGACTAGTGCACAGCAGAAGGGGAGGGGCAGACTTCCTTCCAGAAGGAAAGTTTTCTGCACAAACACCAATTCCTGCAAGGTCTTCAGCAACTCCTGGAGTAGCACAAGCACAATCACGTTCAGAACATTAAGATGTCACATAATGGTACTTGATTACACATCTGTCTTGAGTTAACTTAACTTGACCCAGCTCCACAGGGACAGCACTGAATGATGTCAAACTAGCTCATCTTGTTTCTTTCTCCTGTAAACCAACCGGATTGTTAAATTTGCTCACTATGCTGATGAAAGATCACGAAAAAAAAGCTTTAACACAAACAGGTGTCTTCCAGAAAAAGGGCCTTTGTCAGGCACTGCAGCTTTTACCAAATTACAACTATTCTGCTGAATAAAACATTTCTTAACACCATTACATATCTTAGCACATTTAAGTATTACTCAAGACAGAAGAGGTACCTATGTGATTAGTGCCAAAGAGCAACTGCCAAATAAACCACAGCAAAATATTCCACTTCTGTACTCATACTGTCTGAGCCTCTATTTCAAACATCAATAACTAAGCTTAATAGTCTGGCACTTTTCAAGTCTCTGTCTATGACTGAAAAGATTAGAAAGTCAGAAGATACTATTTGAGCCTTGTCTGAATTACATCAGTGCCCTTTATGTCCTGGGGAGCTCAGGCCTATTTCTCATTTTTACACTCTTTGCTTTTAAATAATTAAATGCACAATCAATAGGAATAGTCAAATAACCACAGGATTTTTAGTAACAATTACATCAAAATTGATTCCTAATTTACTTTCAAAACCATCTTAAGAACTCTCAGAAGTGGAGGGAACTCTTCTAGATATAGAAAAATCTGAACCAACTTACCCCAAAAAGTGTTTAGTCTATGCAGGATATTTTTGATGGAGTTTTACCTTTTATCAAATAAAATGTATTTCACTCTAGGTAGGACTCATTAGAATCACAGAACTGTTAGAGTTGGAAGGGAGATAGTCTAGTCCAACCCCCCTGCCAAGGCAGGGTCACCTGGAGCAGGTGATGCAGGAACACGTCCAGGTGGGTTTGGAATGTCTCCAGAGAGGGAGACTCCATAACCTCTCTGGGCAGCCTGTTCCAGTGCTCTACCACCCTCAAGGTTAATAAGTTCTTCCTCATGTTGAGGTGAAACTTCTTGTGTTTTAGTTTATGACCATTGCTCCTTGCCCTGAAAAGAGTCTGGCACCATCCCCTTGGCACTTGCCTTCGAGATATTTATGTGCATTAATGACATCCCCTCAGAACACTGAGAATTATTATATTACCTCATTAGACTTTCTACAAACTGGTTTCATAAACCAACCATCAATGCTAAGACCCTGATTCTAAGCACATCCAAGTTGTCATACTGAGCCCTAGTCTACCCCAGACAAAAGTGTAGTAGTTCTAGGAGAGAATTTAAGACTTATTCCCATTCACGCCAGCTCTTCTCCCTTGCTTTACCAAGGACAGCTGTGTTTAAATATCTGGTGGTTTCATAGCATAATGGCAGTAAAAAACCCTCTATGCTGCTACCACAAAGAATCAGCTATTTTAACTGGCACGTGCACAGCAGAACTGCAACGTAGCAGAAAACCACGAAGCCAAGGCTTACTATCACTTCATAAAGGACAGATGGGGAGAAACAGGCTTTCCAACTACATCCTTAAAAATAAGGGGACCAGAGCAGAAAAAGTACAGCAGGTAAAGCACGTAAATGTTTGCAAAGTTGAAGGCAACAGAACAAGGGAAGAAAGGAAAACATATAAGAGGGTAGCAGAAGCTGTGAAATCTAGCACTCCTCCATCCCTCTGCACAAACAAGTTCTTTCAGGTACTCGTGCAACCACAGCATAGGCTGTGGAGACCTGTGCAGGATTTAGTCCCAGCTCCCTTCCCCTTCTCCTCCACTAAATCCACATCCCCATCTTGGACCCCCAGCTGGCACCAAAAGTTACCTGTACTTTCCTCAGAGATCTGCTGCTGGAAGCAGCCACTCTATTCCATCAAACTGTTCTGAACACCAGCTCCGGGGAACCAACAGCAGGTGCCAATGGCTATCAGAACATTAATTCATACCAAAAACACATGAATGAGGCATGAGAATAGAACTCCCTTTAAGGAGGGAAACAGGCATTGACATTAAGGCATACATTAAAGGAAATCTGACTTTTCCACTTGCACGACAGGGTTGGTTGGAGATTTTTTCTTTTTTTAGCCTCAAAATGAGTGTAAGCCAGCTTTAATACCATGTCCCACTGTTTCAAACTAAAAACTGAAGTCCCTGTGAAACACATGCCTATGTACTAGCTTCAAAGTGCTCCTTTACGCCCTTCCTAAGAACTGAAACCACATTTAACTGCGATTTCAGACTTTTTATCTCCCTTTCCAGATGGTAACCTGGGTCTGCCCCAACACTTGCATGCAAAAACTAATAGAGCGTGAAGCTACAATTTTCCATATATACATGTGAAAAGTATGCATTGCAGAAAAGCCATTTCCTATCGAAATCACTTTCCCATCTTTTCATCTGGTGCAGCCCCTTGAAATATCACCACTATAAAATATGGCTTTAAAAAAAAAACACAGCTCTCTCTCTCTCTCCTGCGCCTTCGCTTAAGCGTAGAATTACAGAGAGCACAGGCCAACCCTTCAGTCAGTGCACTCAGCTAAAGTTCATCGTCTTAAGGACGTCAACTTTTTGTTTGTTCAAAGACGGCGACCAGGACGTCAAGGTCACTTTTAGGTCTTTGAAGTGAGCGTGAACCTCCAGCCTACAACCGACCTGGCACTACGGATGAGCAGGAGGAATGTTACTTGAAGTCCTCCTCTAAACAGCACCTTTCTTTTACACACGCAGAAAACAGTCCAAAACAATGTGCAAGATTTAAACTCAAGACCTTATGGTCTACAATGCATGAAGATGATAAACCAAGTCATGTTCATATAAGCTTTCTATATTATTACTCTGCCTCCTCAAAAAGCAGGTCCCCCTTTTCAAGTTAAAATTAGGGATTTACCTCTTTCGGACAGGGAAACACTTGACCAATGCTGGAGTGAGGGTTATCCCCTCAAAGGTGCTGTGTGATTCCAGTATGGAAGCACAGCTATAAATACACTGAAGGGACAGCTACGCGGAAAGAAAGCTGGCATATTTAGGGATTGATTTATGGGATTGATTTAGGAGGGCAAACTCTTGCTTACAACTCTGTTTGTTAACAGACAGCGCAACTGTACAGGATTTAGAGTCTGAGTGGGAAATTTTTTCTAACTTTTAAAAAACATTAATGCCTTATTCCTACAGGCTGGTAAAGAGGCATCCTGTGAATACACAATTAGACATGGAGAGTTGGCCAAAAATACAGTCCATGTCCAATTCAGCAGGGAAGCAGAACCCTGCTATGTCCCGTCAGGATGTTCTCTTTGCAAGTCTGATCCTGTGTCCTTCACACAAACAGGACTCTTGCCATTGGGAACCAGAGAGCAGGCTATCCCAAATATTATTTTTTAATTTAAACAGAGTCTCATTTCACCAGTTTCCTGGCATTTAAAAAAAACACACGTCCATAAGAGCAACAGTTCATCGAGAAGTGGTTGCTAATCGCTAACAGATGAAAACAACATGGTCACGTTAAAACCCGTAATTCATAGATTCTCAAACAAATCTGAAAGTTTAGCTGCTTAAAAGGGGGAAAAAAAAACAACCAACACTGGAAAAAGAAAAAAGAAAAGGAAAAAAAAAAAAAAGAAGGCCCAACATTTTGTCCCAATTACACAGATGCCGTGAAGCGAGCCGGGTGCCAATGGGAAAGGGCTCAGCCAGCAGCGATGACTCCTGGCATCACCCATCCCTCCTACGTGACCTGACAGCCTCCCCGGCGGCCCCGCAGCTCCGATGTGCCCTGTCACGGAATCTGCCCGCTCAGCAAACGCGCTCCATTTTCCTGCCAGGAGCGCGGTGTCCGCTCCGCTGCAGCCCCTGCGAGCGCAGCCACTGCCGAGCAACAGCGGGAACAACTTCGGGAAAAGAGACAGGCATTTCTATTAAAACTCCCTCCGCCTTCTTCCCGGTGCGGAGAGCAAGGGCAGAGCTTCCCCCCGGCCCCAGCGGGAGCGCTCCCGGGGCATCCTCGGCTCCCGCCGTCTCCGGGCCGACAGCCCCGGCTGCGATCCCGCCGGGAGCGGCTCCCGAGTGCCGGGGCGCCCCCCGCCCTCCGTGTGATCGGGCACCACCACCGGCACGGCAAGTGTTTACGTTTAAAAATACATATAGACCGAGCCCCGGATCCACAGGGAAGAGGGGGAAAACTCCGCCCCCCTCCCTGCTCCCGACTCCCTCGGAAAGGCGATAAAAAGCTGGGCTGGAAACATCTGACCGCTCAGCGCCCCTTTTTATAAGGGGAAAAAAAAAAGAAGGGGGAGGGAAAAAAAAAGGAAAGTAGGGAAATAAAAAAGAAAAAAAAAAAAGGAAAATAAAGGTTGGGGAAGCCGGACGGGACGTGCCGGGCAGAAGTCCCGGCTGGAACAGGGAGGCGGCCGGGAGGGAGGGCGGCTGGCCCGGGCCCGGCCGGCAGGGACCGCGCGGGGAGGCCGGGCCGGGCCGGGCGGGAGCGGGAGGCGAGCGCGGAGTCCCCCGGGAGAGAAGCGGGGAAAGGAGGGAGAGAAGGAGGGGGAGCGCGGCCCGCGAGTGGGAGAGGGCACTCACGTAGCGTTTCAACTTCTTCTCCGGCGGGGACTTTCGGAGCCAGCCCGAGCAGACCACCTCCCCGCCGCTCATGGCTGCGCCGCTGCCCGCCGGGGCGCTCCCTCCTTTTCCTTCTCCTCCTTCTCCTCAGGCAGCAGCGACGGCACCGGCGCCCGGGCCGAGGGAGCCCCGATCCGCGGCGGCGGCAGCACCGCGCCCGCCCCGGCCTCCCGGGGCTGCGGGGCGAGGGGCGGGACGGGGCGCGGGGTGTGTGTGTGCCTGTCTCTCTCGGACAACCACCCGCCGGAGCGGAGCGGCGAGAGGGGCTGAGGCGGGAGGGTCCCCCCTTCCTCCTCCTCCTCGCCGCCGCCGCCGCCGAGTCACACGGACATCGGGAGCGACGACAGGGGCGGCCGCCGCCCCGCCGCAACTTCGGCGTCCCAGGGCAGGATCCAGGATCCAGCCACCGCCCCGCGCCGGTGGCACCGCCCCCGCGCCCCGCCGGGACCCTCCCGCCGGGAACGGCCGCGGGGGGCTCCGCTCCGCTCCCCTCCCTCCCCTCGCCCCGCCGAGCTCAGCGCCGGCCGCCGCGGCTCCACGGGCTCGCTCCTTCCCCTTCCCTTGCTTCCTCCTCCCCCTGCGCCCGGGAGGAGGGGATCGACCAGCGCTGCTGCCTTCCCTCCCTCGCCTTGCCCTGCGCGGGGAGTGGCGGGGCGGTGGTCTCGCCTCGGGCTTGGGGCCGTGGCCGGGGGCTTGGTCCGCTCCCTCCCGGCCAGCGAGGGAGGGGTTTACCCTGGAATTCACCGCGCCGTGTCTCCCCCCCCCCGCCCCTCAAGCCCCTTTCCCCCTCAACGCCGAGCGGCGGCACCTCCCCTGCCGGCCCCGCCTGCCCCCGCCCCAGCGCCGCCCCGAGCGCGGCGGCGGCGACGGCTCCCCCCGAAACTCCGCCGGAGCCTTTTCAAACAACAAGGGCTTGGAGAGGGAGAGAGAGAGAGGGAGAGAGAGGGAGGGAGGGACGGGCTTCCCAGAGGGATCCTGGGAGCTGTAGTCGGCGGCCGGCGGGGACTGCGACGGCGCGGAGCGGCCGGGGGCGAAGGACGGGCTCCTGGCGCTGAGGGCGGGGGGCGGCGGCTTCTGCGCGGTTCCGAGGGACGGGGCGGCGAAGCGTGTGGAGATTCAAACGGCAAGTATTGAAACCGACGCTGAAATGATGATTCTTTGAGAACCTGACGCAAAATCGTTCGCTAGCGGTGGGGAAAACAAACAAACAAACCGACCCGAAACAAACAAACAAACAAACAAACAGCAACCTAAAAATCCCTATTAAAACTGCATTAAAAAACAGTTCGTCCAAAGTAAACTCCCCTTAGCAAGTCTGGAACTGCCTTAGGAAGAAAAAAAAAATAAGGGTAAGACCCAACTCGTTCACCATCTCTGCTGTGGGCGCTCTCTATTTCTTCCACTATGCCAGAAAAGACCTCCAAATACATAATAATAGCAAATAAAATATATAATCAATATAATCAAATAATATTGCATAAATAATAATACATTTTACGTTTTCATTTACAGTGAAAGTAACTATAATTTTTTTTTTTTTTTTTTTTTCAGATTACTAAACCGCAGAGTTCTGGAACGGGACCGCTGCTGTGCTGTTTAAGCCCCGGTGCTCTTCCACTGCAGAGAAATAGTCCCCCTAGTGTGCCTGGGCTGCAGGGAGCCCGGCGGTGCTGCCATTCATCCAGGCATAGTGCATTAAAAAGTTACAAAGGTGTAGTGTATAGGGGCATTTCAAGAAATAACAGGAAAAAATAAAGGTGAAAGCCCGGAGGTGTTAAAATCTGCGCAGCAATTCCAACGTAAATCTTTTCGCGATAATTACGACGGGTGAAGCACTATTAAGCACTAAAAGAAAGATCATCAAAGAAGAAGATATTTTGCCGAAAGATTTTTAAATAAGAAAACCAGTGAATATTGGCCTTTATCAATATTAAGAGTGGATCCTGGCATCCAAACCATCCTCGCATTCATTTCTGCACATTGTCACTTCAGCTGCCTCAGTGAGGCCAGTGGAAAGAGTAAGAAAGTGATTTGATGAGTGCAGTTGGTAAACATGAACTCAAATTGTACTGGTAGGTTTAGATTTCAAGCTGAGTTTCAGCACAGCTCTTTTTTTTTAACTACTAATGCCATTGTTTAAGAATCTCAACATTTGAGATTATCCAAGTGTCAGGTAAGACCACAAAACCTTCCAGTTTCCTTTAGAACCCTGGAGATGATTTAGTATTGTCAGATCAAGAACATGTAGAATCCGTGTAAACTAACTAAAAATACCATTGGCTTTAGGGCGTTGCAATGTGATCCAATGGTTCATTTAAATCCCATTAATTAACCCATGTCTTGAGGGCCAATCAAAGAAAGCCTGTTTTGGCTCAAGCAGACTCTATGGAGGCACCAACCAAACAAGTTATCTGGTCCAAAGACACAAGATTGTCCCTGAGGTCAAATTTCAAAACATTACATTTGTATTTTAAAACATGCTGAAACCAGTATTAGCCTGGACTCCAGCATTAGTTTTCATATATTTGTTTGTCAGTTCATTTTCTTGGAAATAGCCATCCAGAGACAAACGTTGTATGAGGGTTTCATCCCTGCCATGTAATGATGAAATATACATTGGGGGGAAAGAGTTAATATCATTGTGAAGAATGATAAGTAATAAAAACTGCCTTTTAGACTATACTTTGTTGTTGAGCCTAATCACAAGCCCCAACACTGGATATAAAATTGCTTTATTGCATTGTTGAATTGAAGAAAACATAATGCAGCAAAGCAGGGTTTCCAGATCCCTAGTTAAGATGTTGTCTGATGGTCTGCTCCCTTCCTACTCATGGCAATGGATTTCCTTCCCTGCTCTCAGCCATTTGAGTTACCCATCCACAGTCCCGCTGGCGCCTTCACTAATCATCTCAGGAGAGGGCTGCACGGAACCCTCTCTTCCCAAGTAAGTGAACAGCTAGCAAATCCAAGATTATTAATGCTGTGGATTTCTGTGCCTAACCAGCAATGCTCTACAGTTCATAATTTAGATACCCTGTATTAAGGTAAACCGGAGCAATTAAGACTAATGAAATACATAAACAGCACAACATTTAGGTCTGACTCTTAACACCTGCATATTTACAGCTGTAAAACTGTCTATGAAGAGAATAGTGAAATAATTATGCCAGATAGTTGCTCCGTGTAGAAAAATTCTTGCACTTAGCTAACTTAGACTAGGCTATAATTTCCTGAAATTAGGATAAAAATCACAAAGACCTCTGTCAAGAATGACTGTTAGACTTGGTTTGCCTGCTAAGCTCTTGTCCTGAAAGTTTAAACAACATTAAACGTGCTCCATTTTTAAATTCTCCTGCACTATGATTTGTGCTTGGAAGTACCAAATACCCTTTGGGGACAGCCACTGCTTGCAGGACTGCTGTAACCCTACATCAGGACACAACCCTTCCCTTTGTTCCCTCTGGTTATTTCTGTGCTGTTCCTCAGGAAGCCTGAAGGACAAAGGTCCTTTAAGCTCAATTAATTGCACTAGGGAGGTCTTTGGTATTTCTGTACAAAGCCAATCCTTTGAGGAAGAAGAGAGAAGGGAAGAGGATTTTTTTTTTTTTTGGAAGAAAGAGAATTTTCCCTGTTTTTAACAAGCAGCCTGCAATTGGCAGCTGCTGGTGGCCAAGAAGAGGATATCCCTAGAGAAGGGAGCTCAGGAGGAAGCCATCCTCGCTGCCCACAGTGCCAAAATCCAGCTACAGCTCCCACACCATGGGGCATATCGCCATTCCTGAATCCCACATAGCCACTGCCATCCAAAACAGTACCTGCTCTGTGACCTGTGACCAACACAACATGCTGAATAAAATACACTTCAAAAGGCAAGGCGATGCCATGCCCTGGTCTTTGATGACCATACACATGGTCACGGTGCTTGTGCCACCCTTCCAGCTCACAGAGCACGTGCAAGGTGCCTTGATTCCTCCACTGGCCTTGTCTTCTTCCACAAGTGCATTCCAAAGCGTTTTAAATGGTTCTCCAAAATTTTGGAGTAGACTATTTATATATCTCGCCAGATAAAGTAGGTCATGTGGAAATCCTATTTGCCTCTGGTTTGCTTGCCAAGTCGCCTTGACAAAGGAAACAGGAGCTGATAGAAGAGGAGATTAAATACACATGGGTTTGTTTTTAAAAGTAGAAATGACGCTAATTCTTCATGCAAATAGCTGAGAAATTCTGGACTTGCATAATAAGATAGTGGTTGCTACAGCTCCCAACTTTGTATTATACTTCTAATATGAAAACCTGTGCATTTCTTTCTAGTTTCACCTTGCAGTCACGGTCAGCTGCGGCTCCTGAGAGTGATCCCTAAATTCCTCCATGCACTTTGCTTACATTTGAAAACAAAATTTGTACTTTGACAAAAGAGACTAAACACCCTAATAAAAAAACCTCAAACCCTAATAAAAATTAATTTAACAAAAAATGCTGCACGTCAATCTATATTCCAAAACACCTTTAGGTGTGAAACAGTGAACCAGTGCAAAAAGACAGATTCTTTTAAGCTTGCAAAAACCTGCATTTACACATTTGTTTTCATCTCAAATATTTCCCTTTTGATTTCAAAATTATTCCCACGTAGATTTAATCTGTGTAGTTATTTTGGTCAGTTCATGGATGACGTTATCTACTGTTTCTGTCAGACTGTAGTTATTTAGATTATTTGGCAAAGAGATTGAGGAAAGTAATACAAACCAGACATAATTAAATGAGATGACTGTATTCCACACACTTTAGGGTTGTTTACTGGTTGTTAAGCTACCTCACCTCTTTTCTATGATTACTTTTAACATTGATGTAGACAAATAAAGCTCATACCAAAAAGGACTGGTTTTGAGTTCTTCATTGGTGTAATACATTGAGATTCCCTTTGTATATTTTGTAGAAAACTCTCATTCCCAGTGCTGGAGTGGAAATTCACTGGTAAATGTTTGTCCTCTGTTTTTGTGTCAGAGGATCAGTTGACTACCTTACTTCATGCAAGGGAATTTCCCTTTTCTTTCTAGGTTAGGCAAGAAAGAAGGAACAGGCTGGCTGGTTGGCCAGCCATGCAGAACCTTCCTCAGGTCTACGCTGTTCAAAAATTAATCAACAAGCTTTTCCCTCCATTAGGACAATACCTTTGCACCTATCCTCATGTACTGAAAATGTGTGGA